GCAACTGAGCCCACGCGCGAAGCGGACGTGATAGCGTGGACTTTCATGGGTTTTGAAGGGCCTTACGTTTCACTCTTTTCTTCCGTTTAGATGATATCTATGAGAATTAGAATATACGTACTAGATCTATATGAAAATATTCTAATGCTTCGTATGGTCAAAAGAAATAAAAATATAAGCTCGAAAAATTCGTTTACTACTTTACATACGATAAAGCCAAAACAAAAAAAAAACGAAGAACTGCTTTGGAAAACTCTAGACTCTAATTGTAAGGTGGGCGATTTATGGAGTAGGATCTTTCAGAACAGGCACGCGCGGTGTGCAGTGACAAAGCGAACGACAAACTTCTCGGCTATAATTCTAAAAATGGGGTTACAAGATCCTATAACCGGAAGGCTAAGTCAAAGGCCTTTCAGAATGAATCATCTAATTAAAGACTTAATAGCAACCATCACTGAACACTTTTTTGGAAAACCTGAACACCCTGTACTACTGCCTACGACTAGTGATCTCAGAGTGGTTCATAATCGTACTCAAGAGCACTTTCGAAACGAAGTTTCTTGATGACTGTTCGAAGATAAGTCATCGTCATTGTTTATTCCTTGTTACTCCTTTAACATTAAAATTTATAATGTAAGAATATTGTTCAATGTCTATGCAAAACCAGATATAGCTCTCTATTGCAGCTTTCGACTTTTCCTTGTTCACGGTCTGTTCGCTTACGTATCCAGGGAACTCGGCTTGCAAATTCAGTCTCGACGGTCATCCACTATCAGTTACTTCTTTTACGCAATCTTGTGACGATGGAACGTGTTTGTCTACCTCCTATCCAGTTGACTAATATTTCAGGATCATACCATGTTTTCGGATGTACAGACTTTTAAAAAAGTTTATATAATACATAGAATCATCGAAAAGTGCTAATCTCAATATTGGGAAGAAACAAATATATCGAAACCGCGGCATTTGTTTGCCATACCTGTACAAAGTCGCATGCCGAATGTATAGATTTCACTGTTGCATGAACCAACATTCAATTCGAAGTGAACTTCACAACAGAAAAACAAAAACGAAAAGTGATGATCTTTGATATCCCGAAGCTAATTGACTGAACTTTATCAGTAACGGGATAAATCTCTCAAAAGGCATGCAGCACCTCTCAGATTAAAGTAAAAGAAGACAATCGAAAAGTATACAGAACAAGACGAAAGACATAAACAATTATTACGCTATAGATGTTGGTCACACAGCAAGAGAAAAACCTGTTCAACTATAGTAAAAAATCGTTGAAAGAAGAAAGCGACTGTATACAAAATTTCAGTCTTTTGCGGAAGACATGGATATAACGATAACTGAGATAAAACGCAAGAATGCGAGGAGAATAAACGCATGTGCGTGAAGAAGACCCTGCTTGAAATGGATACTCGAACGAACACAGCATCTGTGCACTGTTCGATACACAAAAACTGACATGATACGGCTCAAAAATGATAATTAATGACGTTCACTCTCGAAATAAATGACCGATGAAAACCCCTAAGCACCCCGAGAAATTGACGCTGCGTCCCCATTCAACGGTACCATTTCCACAGAAGGGCCCTGCAACTCGCTTATTTGGTTTGCCGATAAATATTTGCTTTTAGCAATTCCGCAGCAAGTCTGATCGATAATAATGTGATTGAGGCAGAATTTTTTGACAAAAAAAAAACTGTGATACCCATTAGAAATTTCGCACATCCGCTATATCATTGTTCAGGCGATGCACAGTTAAGTTTGAAAGACAGTCCATATTTCGCTATCTATACTATCGATTTTTATTGATAAATTTCGCAGAGTCTTCAAAGATGCATGAAATGTGTTAATCAAAATTGCACAATGCAGAGATTAATTTTAAAGCGTGTCAGATAGCCTTCTGCAAAAAACACATTCAAACTTTTTAACTTTGCAAAAATCAAGACCAATTCTGTTTGAAGCCGTGTATAGAATTATCGTCACCCTTTCTCAAAACATGAGCAGCTACTGAACGAGGAAGGAACAAAACATACCCGTACCGTACTGCAGATAGTTCTTGACGAAATGATCGTGGTTGCTAATGCCAAGAGCAATTCCAAAATAGCTGCCGCGATGAGTCCGGCGTCAAGGCGATAGTCGGTACCCAATCGCGTCATAGAACTTAAAATTTAGGCATTCTCACTTCAAGTCGCAATACCTACCTACTTGATTGAAACACATCCTGCTCTTTACTAATAGGCAGTGTGACCATGTTTCGGTTAACATCTGCTTACATTTACATAGTTCGAAACTTGGAGAAGGGATAAAACAATCAAATCTCAGTGTAAAACTCAATCAGCACCAAACTCATGGTCCTAGGCTTCCACGAAAGAGCAGTTTAAAAATACGAGATAATCTTTACAAATTATAAAAAAAATTGAAAGATTTAAAACGTTATAACCATGTTCACTCGATTGAAATGAAACTCACACTCTCATGT